TGCTGCTTTGTGGGACATTTACCTGGGATTAGTAATAACTGTGTGCCCCATCCCACCCCTCCAGTGTGGTGTGGTGGACAAGGATTTGGGCTAAGACTCAGGCAGGAGAAGAATTAAGTAGTAACCATCATACCAACTCACATCATTGGTTTCATACGTGCTGGCTCATTTGGTCTTCACACAACCCTGCGAGGGTAGGTGGTATCCTTGTCGCTGATGAAACTGAGCCAGAGAGTCAAGCCTGCCAAAATCTAACTGCTTGTACTGCTTCATTTGGGTCTCCCACTCAGGTCCTCTGATTTCAGTTGTCATTTCCCTGTGTTCTGACCAGTGGGGCAGGGGCAGGAGTCTTGCGCAATTTACTTGATCTCTGAGGGCCTTAGGTTTCTTTTCTGTATGCTGAAGGGAGAAGGAAAGCTCAGAATTTCCAGGTTCTCTGACTTCTGATTGTTTAGACTTCTCAGAGCTCTTGTGAGAACAGGCTTGTACTTCTTGGGAGGTTTCCTACATTTGGAAGCTCCTGGAATCTTTGATACATCAAACCTGACACATCTGTATGGTACTTCATTCATGTGCATATAGGCTTGCTCTTCTGCTGAGGGTAGCTCACTGAGCCAAGATGTCATTGTGGGACTGTTGAGCTTTTTCCAGCAGATCTATACAGGGTGCCCTAAGCGTTGCCCAGCATGCATGTTGTTTGTATGCTACCTGTTTGCTGGCAAATGTACAGCACCTGCTGGAAGTGTTGGCTAACGCACAGTGTAAAGTAACACACTGGAATCACTGACTTCAGCTCTAAAGGTTTGCTTCATGATTGACTTGAGAAAGTAGGCCTTACCCACGAAGAGGACAGTGAGTAAAAGAACTCTGGATGTCGGTTTTCCTTAAAAGCTGAGCACAATCCCCACTCTCTGTAAGGGGTGCCAAGGCAGATTATTGGACTGTAGGGCTTCTTTGGCCAGTTAGCCCTCTGAGGTCAGGGTCTAGCCACCACCCAGGCTAGAGTGCAGTGGTGTGATCATGGCTCACCACAGCTTCCACCTCCTGGGCTCAGGTGATCAATACCTCTGCTTCAGTCTCCCAGATAGCTGGTACTATAAGCGTATGCTGCCATGCCTGGTTAATTTTTTTGATTTTTGGTAGAGATGAAGTCTAACTGTGATGCCCAGGCTGGTCTCAAACTCCTGCTCAATTGCTCAAGCAATTCTGTCACCTCTGTCTTCCAAAGTGCTGGGATTGCAGGCGTGAGCCACCGCGCCCTGCTTGAGTGGTCTTTATGTGAATTGACCCAGTGCTTGGATGAAGGGAAAAGGAAGTTTTTATCTTTAGTTACAGTTAATTTAGATATGATGGTTTAGGCTTTTTCTGGGGTATTCCTTTAGGACAACTGAGGTTGGACAGGAGCAGCATGCATATATCTGTGAATGCCTGGCTGTCTGTTTTTCCTGAATGCATTCTTGGCTTATAGGGAAACCCTGTGATGGAGATCCCACACTGGAATTGTTTTGGTGGATGAAGCTTCGGCAGTCTCATATCTGAAGATTGGTCATGTTGTACCTGGTTCTTTCTGTTCTCCTGAAGGATGAAAGGAGAATGGACAGAACCTACAGCAAGGAGGGTGATTTAGGCTGGACTTTGGGGAGAACTGTTCATCACTTTTGTTGAGAGTTCCCAAGGAAAGACGAAGCCTCTTAATCTGAGGTGAGGCTAGATGTCCTCGACAGTTTCCTTCCAGTCCCCAGACTTTAGGACTTTGAGACCGACCCTGGAATGAGGTTTGGGTGCCAGGATCTAGAGCAGGCTCTCTCTCCATCTTTCCTGTTTGCCTTCAAGACGGGTATGCTGGGTGGGAGTGGGGGAGGTGGGGGTGGTGCGCCAATGGCAGTGACCCTATAGGAACTGGTATTATTTGCATACAAAAAAGGAGAAAGGCATGTTGTCCCTCATCCTTCCAGGAAAGAGCCTTCAGCTGCTATAATCCTGTCTTTATTTGTACCATCACCACCACCCCATACCTAAGGACCTTTGACGGGCATTGGGGTGTGTTGTGGGCAGGGAGGGCTGTGCGGAGGACGCGGGGCCAGAAGCATGGTTTTCTGGGAGAAAGGTCGGAGATGGAAGAGACACATCATGGGGCAGGCCCACGGCTCTGGGAGCCACCAGCATTGCCTGCGATACTAAAGGCACAGGTATGTGTTCAAATAGGCATGCTATTTAGTGGTAACTCAAAGTCTGAAGTAAATCAACTGATTTACTAAGTGAGAATATGGAAAATCATATATCCTTTTGTGGCATCCTCACTTGCAGATTTAGCATCAGAAGGCTTGACAGGCTGAGGACTGTGAAGTATGCTCTGTCATAAGATCCTGCTTCTTTTATATTGACTTTTTGTCTTTTTTCTTTCCTGTTTCCCACTCTTCCTTATTACTTCCGTACATAGAATATTTGCTCATGCAGTTGTGTTATTTCCTTAGGGTACATTTATTCCAGTGTCACCAGCATCAGTGAATGTGTGACTTTGATTTCCAGGGTAAACAAGCCACTGGCTCATGGCAGAGATGAGCCATTTCTGAGGCAAGGGCTCGACAGCTGCCTGCAGACCCTCTTCTGTTTTGGTTCTAGACTAGTTCGCTGGATGTCTGAGATGAGAATCAAGGGTATCCTTGCTGGGACCAGCTTGACCTCACATCATGCGTCCTTTTTGGGGTGGAGGGGCTCAGGCATGCATGCCCCCACCTCATTAGCTGATACCGCTTTTTAGCTTGAACCCTGAGTAGTGACATGTATCCATGCTAGGTGAGAAGCGGCCAGAGAGGAAGGGAACACAGGCTCCTGGCCGCTGGTCTCTCTCCAAAACAGGTGAACTTTGTGTTCAGAAAGGAACTCATTTAATCTTTTGGCTCTCATAGAAGTTATTTGTATTTTCTCTCCTTCTCTCTTTTCCCTCCCCC